CACTTTTAATTTTCTCCTATTCTGGCGTCTGAGGTAAATATTTCCTGAAACTATCCGCCCCCACCAAGCCAGCCACCTTTTCCTTCTCCTTCTCTTGGCCATCTTAGTTGAGATCCACATGGAAATGGTTGATGAGTTGGGTTTTTTCCTTTCCCTTCTTCTCTCCCAGTTCACTGAATTTGGGAACAGTGACAAGGATGGTGTATCAAACCACACTGAAATGGGACAAGATATTTCTCTTCATGCCAAGGAGGTGGAAGATGAGGAGGATGAGGCTTTACTCCACAGCCAGGCTCATGGCCAGCAGCTTGACATGGTACTGGTGCCTGAGAGCCCCAGTGCCTAAAGATTCTCTCTGTGTTCAGAAATTACTTCCAATTCCCTGTTTTCCTCCCACCCCTTGGCCTTGGCCCTTGTTCTAAGATGTGCTCAATCTATTTTTTTCTGGCTTCTTGGCCTCCCGTTTCCTAGTGACAATGCAATCAGTTTTTGGGTGGGAGATTCCTCATGAGAAGGTTTGTTGTTATTTAAGGAAGATCATGAAATCCATCCTTAATGAAAGGACAGGAGAAAACCCTTCCACCAAGTTATACTGAAGCCTGAGATTATCATTTTTATGGGCTTCCAATCTTTCCTGCCTCATGTCTTATCAGCAAATGCAGCTGGAGGCTTCAAAAACCCTCCCAGCTTGCTGCTGATTTTATGGGATGAAGATTAGAGATGATCGGATAGCAAATTATTCATTCCATTCGGTATCTCTGGGCAGGAGGGAATATCCAGAGCGAAGTCAGCTCCGTTTTCCCTTTCTGAGCATCACATTGGGATCCTACCTATCTGCAGTGGTGCTTTCCCCCACACTCAGAGATGATTAGGGGTGCAATATGCCCTCTGGACAGATGGGAAAGCCGAGGGGGAATCACGGATGCAGGCTCACCCCCCGACAAGAAGGCACAGCAGAGGCAGAAGGATTTTCTTCTCATTTCCATGATTTTTGGTTTGAGTCCTCCTAGCCCAGAGCAAGGTGGGACAGATCAGGGAGGTGTTTTCTCAGCCTAATTTTCCAAGGCTGTAGGGCCTGAGGCTGATGTGAATGTGCTGTCAGAGGTGCTGTCAGAGTTCCTGTCAGGGACAGAGGAGTTGGGAGCTCAGAGAGGACAAGGGACAGAGGAGAGAGGCCATTGCTGCCCTTGGATGTATGGAGCTGCAGCATCAGGCACAGACAGTGCAGGGTGTGAGTGTTGCCCAGAGATCCATGCCAAAATCAACTGATGTAAAAAATATCATCCAGAGGGTCCCATGAATTACTCATGGGCCACAGTGAAGCTACTGAGTAGATCTTTAGGGAAAAAGAAGGGCACAGCTGGAGCCCAATTCTGGTGCCACGTCTGTGTCCCATCACACACTGGTTCTGGGTACCAGCTCCCAGAGAGTGCCCTGACAGGTGAGGTCCTGGCTGACCCCACTGGAGCATCCAGGCTGCCTGGGAGGAGGAGGGGAAAATACACATTCTCCTGAAAGGAGGGATCAAGAGGGATCATGGCCACCACCACGTCTCCCTGCTGTTTATTCAAGGCTTGTGATTACATCAGCCCTGGGGGACACACAAATGGAGTAACAAAATGTCTAATAAAATGCCAAGAGGTGTTTTTTTCTTGACCCTGTGTGTGTGTCCAGCTGAACCCTGTGTGCTGTGGGGAGGATGAGGCTGGCATGGGGTGATTTCCTTTTGCCCTATCATTGAAACCTGGAGTTTTCAACAGCACATAAATAAGAAAATACGTCGCAGTTTAAAGGTATTTTTAAAGACAAGTTGCGTACAGAGTTGTGATGGAAGAAGACAAGCTAAGCAGGATCTGCCTTTTTCTGCTGCCTTTTATCCACACTGGCACACCAGGCCAAGAAAATGCCCTTTTCACAGTGGTTGTAGCTCCTAGTTCTCTCCTGGCAGCATCCATACTGGGCAGGATTTGAAAGACAAGTGTCAACGGGAAATGAGAGAATTCTGGCATGAGCAAGGAATGTTTGTTTTTGATGGCAAATGTCAAAAGAAACAAGCAATTAAAAATTGGGTCTGTGGGGGTTTTTTATTTGCTTGTGTTGAGGGTTTTTTGTTTGGGGTTTTTTGATGTTTTTTAGCAGCTATTGAAATGCAACAAATTTATAATTACTTTTTTTTCCTAGGAAAAATACAATCCCTTCTTTAAGGGATGTTCAGAGTTGCTCTCATAGATTTTTTTTTTTATTTTTGTGGCTCTGTCTGAGAGAGGGGGAGGAAATGGAGAGGATGGAAGAGGGAAGGAAGGAGGGAGGAAGGAAGGAAGTGAAGGAGAAAGACAAACACCTTCCATTAAAACACAGTCTCACAACATTTTTCAAAGAGGAACTGGCATCTGTGCTTTGAAATGTATCACCCAGGAATATTGCTCTGATCAAATGCTAATTTCTCCTAAAAATTGCATATCTTTTAGAGGAAATAACCCCCAATATTTAGAGGATATCCTGAAATTCCAATCCCTGCTTTTAGCAAGATCTGTTGTACAGGCAACTGCTCATATGGGTCCCCGAGAGAGAACTGTTCTGGCTCTGGCTCTGGCTCCACTTGGGTTTGACTGAATGCTGCCAAGGTGATTTGCCCCTCTGTGCCTCAGTTTGCCTCACCTGTAAAATGGACCTGTAGGGCTTTGACTCACCATGCCTGGGTGATGCTGAAGGCTTAAATGAGAGACACAGTAAGATTTCCAGCACGCTGATGCAGAGACACAGAGCTACTTGCCACTGCAGGTCCCAGGCCAGGGCCAGAATGACAAAAGGAGGAGCTGGTTGGCAAATTATTTGTCGAAATTTCAGACTTTGCCCTTGCAACAAGGCTGCTGCTGTTACAGTGACTTGCTACTTGTCATTCCCCCAGGCCAGACCCAGGGATATGCAACCAGGCAGGTGCCATGGGAGCTTTCTCCACAAAGGCACATACCTTCCTAATAGCTGCCCTGGGCTAAACAGGCATTGGAGAAGAGAGGGGCTTTGAGATAAGCACAGGAGCAATTCCCTGGTCTCATCAACAAGCCCAAAATGATTAAATAATTGAATTTTCTTGAATTTCATATAAATGTGGGAATGTGTTGCTTGCTCCTCAGGAAGGAGCCGAGAGCAAGATCCCTGCCTGGAAGGCACAGCAGCCCTGCCTTCAGCTCGGGGTCTGGTCTGTCACATCCTGTCACCCCAACACATCCTAGCATACAGGCAGATCCTTGAGGCATCCCTGTCTTTGAAATGTCAGCCCAGGGTCCCTGGAGCTAAACTGGGCAGAGCCCTGGTATGATAAGACTGGAGTACACAGGGAGGAGAAGGAGCCTCATGAGCCACCTGCCGCAGCTCCAGGCGTGACTGAGAGGGGGATGGCAACAGCAGAATGTCTCAGACCTTGAATTTCCCAAGGGCAGCAGCAGGACTGGCTTCTCTAGGACTTCTGATCTGCTGATAAAGCCTTCTGCTATGAACAGCTTGGGTGGTTTTGCTGGGAGTTTGCTGAGAGACAAGCAACAGGCAGGCAGCAAAGATGGCAAACTCTGCATGCTTTCCCAGATAATGTGGAAGCAAGTAATGGGGAACCCAAAGTTTACTCTCACTTTTACTTCTTCAGAAGACGTTCCTTTTCCTCTGTAATATGATTAGATTGCTTTTACGGGGCCTTATTATGGGCCAGCCCCTGTTGTGACACTTCCTTGCCCACTGTAGCAGGAAAGTCCCTGACTCACAGGGTTCACAAGCAAGAATTAGTGGGGTTGGGAATGGGATTATCCAGCATTGCAGGTGGGCAGCAACCTGGTCATGGAAAGGAATTTGGGAAGGAACTGGGAACTGTCCTTCAGTCTTGCACAGCTCTAGTCAGCTCTGGTTTGTTTTCAGGATAAATGACATTATTCTATATACGAGGGAAAGAGGAGGGATGAAGGAGGGTAGTCCTGCACTGGTATTGTGTTCCTGAGGTATGTATCCCTGAGGATGCTGCACATTCCCAAGCATGGGTCCCATGTGGGCTCCCATGGTGGGACCCAGCACGCAGGCAGGGTCCCTGGAGGGGAGATCACCAGACTCAGAGGCCAGGAGTTCATATGCTGCCAAGGGAGATGCTCAGAGTCTGGGCTTGCAGAGATGCTCTGGCACATCACAAGAAGAGCGATGACTAAACCCCCAGCTCACAGTTTTATAATTTCCTTCAGGAGTAAGTGAAGTTTCTCAGCTCTGAATCCAAATACCTTTTATTCTTCCATGGGCTGGGTTTGCCAGCCATCCAAACCTGGCATGGGCTGGGGAACTGCTTAACTCAGGACCTGCAACGTTCCCCATCCTGTAGCATCTGTACAGCTGATGTGAAGGGTGAGCCTTGCTGTCTGCTGCAGGTCTTTGGGTGTTTCTGCTTCTTCTGGTGTCAAGAAATTTTGGAGACAGCCCTGAAGACTCTATAAAGTGAAAGCTGTGTTTGTTCTTTTTAATAGTCTCACAATTAAACAAGATGTAAGAAGTGGAAGGCAGTAGCAGACATTGAGTCTGGTTTATTAAGCTGATGTTTTAAAGTCACAAATATGTTTTGCCGAGTTGTTAGTGACACTTGCTGAAAAGAAAAGAGCAAGGAAATGAGTGGGAGTCCCACAGGGTGGGAAGGGTTGTCAAAGCTGGGGCATCACTGGACTTCCCCCTGCTCTCCTCCTGGGGGGACAGGGACCTGGGGGACACCACGCTCCCCAAGCACTGCAGCTTTACTGGGGAAGAATTTTACCCATCTGGATGTCGCCTTTTCCTCCTGGGCTGATGCAAATATTTTGTGCCTGAGTTCCTTTCCACGCCCTGCCTAAGGGGACTGTCAGGTTCAAGTCACCGTGCCCCAAATTCCCCGCCAGCTTCCGCGGGAGAAAGCAAGAGGCACCTCCTTCCGCCCCTTCCCGCAGCAGGATTTGAATAAGCAGGTGAGAGCATCGGCCTCCCTCGTTAATGCGTTTGATAATTGACCTAGCGCTCATTCCTGTGGGAGGGCGGCGTGCCCAAGTGCAGAGCCCGGCTGCTCCTCCGCACCCCGGGAGCCCCCGGCCCTGCCTGCCACCATGCCTGCCCGCTGCCTCCTCCTCCTCCTCCTCCTGGGACTGCTCCTGGAGCTGGAACCTGCCTTCTGCCAGGAAGGTAAGTGCAGGCAGCTGCCTGATATCCAGGGGAAACTGAGGCAGGGGGAAGGCAGGAAGGTGCACCGAGCCCCAGGCAAGTGGGAACTGCTCGATGGGGGACAAGAGACAACTGTGGAAGAGCCTCTTGGGAAGAGAAAATACATCCCAGCTCCTGCCTAAGCTTTAGCTCTGGCTGCACGTCGGGATGGGTGGGTGTCCCGGGGGGTTGGAAGGTCTTACCAGGGCTGGAGCATGAAAACTTTCTGCCTGTTTTGCCGAAGGCTGAAACTGCCACCTGAGGTTTATCTTACCTGCTTATGTGGAGATAAAGCAGCTCTGATTTACCTCTCACAGGACTGTGCACCGAGATGAGTAATCTGTTTTCTTACGGCTTTTTTTTTCCTCTTCTCTCTAACTCTCGTCCTTGGGCAAGGGCTGTGCTGGGTCGCTCCCTGAGCTCGCAGATTCTCCTGTTAATCTGTAATTTTGATCATTACTGAGGAGAGAGAGCAAATATTTTCCTCTGCAAATTGCCCTCCTGTTCTCTTCCAAAAAACTTCATAGAGAAACTTACTATGGCTAGGACATTATTTTTAGGAAATTTGTTGAAGGGCTTGTCTAATGCTAGAAATAACGAGGAGTAATTAAAACTCATCTGGTGTTGGCAAAGTCCTGGAAAATTCCCTCCTCCCTTCTCCTTCTGAAACCCCAGCCCTGACCACTCTTCCTGTGCTTGTTTACCAACTTGCTGAGGATTTAACAGCCTGGGGTCTCCACTGTCAGCAGGATTGAAAGTTTTGCTGTTGCTTGGAAGGAACTCTGAAAAAGAAACCCTTTAATGAGGATTCAGAGCCTGGTACAGCTTCCTCAGAGGGTGGAAAAGATAGGGGTCACCTGATGTTTTCCAAGCACTCAGGAAAGATGTATCAAAAATCTGTGTTTTCAATTTTGCTGTTGAGCATGGAAATGAAGTTACAAAAAGTGTACAGGTTTATTTTAGCATTAGCACTTCCCTTGGTCTGGTTTGTAGCTGCAGATGTGTGGACACACATCTGCCAGGGCTGCAGATTCCACATTGCTTAGTTTGGCTTACAGGATCTTGTTGGTGAGGGAAAACCCCATCACTGACGTGGGGTGAAACCGAGAGGAGGTGGCAGAGCCTGAGGGACAGGCTGTCCCAGGAGGGGCATCCCTCATAAAGCATTTTTCCAGGAACACAATTCTGTTTCCACAGGTGAGACCCATCCCTTCAGCCATCCCTCCTGGTGTGCTTGATGGGGGTCCAGCCAGGCAGTACCCCCCAGGGCTGGGATCCCCATAGTCATCCCTAGAGTAAATCCTATCAAGCTCTTGCCTCTACCTGGTCCCATTCCTCCTTTCTTACGCCCTTGTAAGATCTCCGTGTGGGATTTCAGCCCAATGTGGAGGCATTTGCAGTTCCCCTACCACCCTCCTCTCCCCTTGCAACCAGGACCTACATGATCTCTCAAAGCCAGAACCCCTTGATTTTGGTTTGGTGTTTTTCCTTTTGGCTTTGGATGCTCTGAAATCTGCTGGAAACAGCTGTCTGAGGTTTCACTTGCGAAAACATCCAGTACCTCCTGAGCACAGTCGCTCCAAGGAAATTTCCTACCACTTATCTTCTCCCCCCCTTTGCTGGAAGATCACGAGATCCAAATTTGGCACTTTCAGTCACCACTGACTTCATTCCCTGGTTGACCTTGAACTCCCTTAACCTCAGCAGAAACATCACGGAGGTCTGGACGTGACCACCCCCTCCTAGGCTTAGGCTGGAAACCCTGACTCCAACAGGAAAAATAAACTACAACTAATAAATAAATGTGGCCAACAGCCAAGGGCAGAGTGAGGGAGGACACAAAGTGAGACAAAGCTCAGGCGGGAGGCAATAGGTGTGTTTGGGGCTGCACTCCCAGGGCTGGTGGGCAGCAGTGGCAGGAGCATACTTGCCCACCAGCCAGGGCAGGAGGGGACCAAACCCTGCTCTTCCCAATGCCACCACTCCCTGGTGCCAACCCCCCCCCCTCCCGGTTAGCACCACCAGCAGCTGCTGATACAAACACGCTGCTACAAGAGGGAATTTCCGCCTGAATTCCTCCTGCTTCAGTTTTAGCCTTGGGACCTTGCAGTAAACATGGCAAGTGTCTCTGCGGGGAGAGGGGGCTGAGAGATGCTGTTTGGGGCTACTCTCACAGCCCCCTGCTCAGGAATGCCAGTGCTTTCCAGACTGGCACTGCTGGCGAGCCAAGCAGCCAGGTTGATTTCACTTCCAAGAGGAAAAAAGAGCCTTGTTTTGTGTTGTTGGTTTGGTTTTTCTGGTTTGGTGGTGTTTTTTTTTTAGTAAAAGCCTCTTGCAGTAAACACTGGAGGCATTACCAAAGGACAACCCCGTTCCCAAAAATCAGAGGAAGGAGAGGAGAGCTGTTAGCAGCAGAGCCAGTGTGAAGCTGGTTACAGATGAGGAGTTTGCACATGTAGAGCACACAGCCCACTTTTATTGCTGCTAGTAAAGATCATTTTTCTGTTTCTAGCAGAGATTTATCTCCTGTGAGACAGATGAACTGTTCAGCTAGTGTAAAGTTCCTGAGTGAGACTGAAGAACCAATTGCTTGTCCAGGGGCAGCTCAGCCTTGCAGACATCAGTGGCCAGGTCTGGGACTGAGTGTTCTGGGGCTGATGCTGGAGCTGGCAGGTGTAGCATCCTTCACCTACCCCATGTGCCCATGCAGAAAGACCTCTCTAATGTGCAAGGGTTGGCATTTTGATCAGCAGATGAGGATAAGCTGTGCCCGAATAAATAGTAATTAAATCCCAAAGGGATGTGTCTGCATGGACAAGGTGTTATTTGGTGCTGATATGACAGTGCTTAAGGATGAGTCTGACTACAGGATGGATTTGACTAAAGGATAGGTTTGGCTACACCTGAATGCTCCAAAAGCCAGTGGGAGGCAAGGAGCAGCCATCCCAGCAAGGACTGGGAAAAGGTTTCCTCTTCTCACTACCCTACCCTCGCATTCTTCCCACATCCATGATTGCATGTCACAGCCTTCTCACTCATGGCTGGATCCCTGTATAATAGAGGAAAACAAACCTGTGAGTCCACCCCATCTGTGGGGGTGAGGGGATATCCTGGTCAGCTCCCAGCTCCCCCCCCAACCCCTGTGCTGCTTGGCCCCCACCAGCCCTGCCTGGCCTCTGCACTGAGGTTGTTGCTCTGAATGCATCAGCCTTCAATTTCCCGTCATAAATCAGTTTGCTGCTCTGGGAACTTTTGGATGGTGCATTTTACTGAAATCCACAGTGACAACTTTTTGCTGTGAGAGTGGTGACCAAATTTTACCTTGTCCCTGTTACAGGGTCCTTATTTTACAAGTCAGTATTTGGGAAATATCCTGGGAATTGTCTGTGGCATCAGGGGTTGGAGAACAAACAGTTCGCTGAAACTCCTCTGCCTTCTTCCCCTTGGCAAACATTTTCTTTCCCTCCCCTCTTCCATGTCCCCCAGCCCTTTTTTCCCCCATCACAGAGTCACCAGCACCTGACAGCACATGTATATGTGTATGTATTTGTATATGGGGCCCCAAAGCTGCAGAGCGCCACACTCCACGTGCAAACACCAGTGAAACTACTGTTATTTGTGCTTTATTTTATTGCTATCACCCAGTAAGCTTGCCTGAATTGACAGCAACATGTTCTGCTTGGCTTTGTAGGACCAAGCTCTTGGCTGGATGCTGCTGAAGCTGAATGGGAGAAACTCAGCAGATAAATTCTGAGGGTGAATTTCTAACTTGTGTCCTCTTCTTTTCCTGTAGCCCGGGGCAGCCTCCAGCCGTGGTCACAGGGTGTCATCGCAGTGGTTGTGTTTCTAGTGCTGGTGGCCATCGCTTTCGTGGTCAACAGGTTCTGGTGTAAGAAGAAAGAGTAAGTGTGGGAGGTTACCAGAGTTGGGCTTAGCTGCCTGGGCATGTGTCACTTCCAGCAGCCTCCATCCTTGTGCCAGGGCTGGGAACACTGTGATCGCTGCACTGGGAGCTGGGCAGGGAGAGCAAAGACTCCCTGTCCTCATCTCTCTGTCCTCTTCTCCCTGCCCTGGTCTCTGCTCCCTGTTACTTATTGCCAGGTGTGAGCTTGCACTGTACAAATGCTGCCACGAGAAAGTGCTGTGCTGGGAATGAGAAGGCAGCAGCATTGTGGCTGGTTTACAGGGGCACATGTTCAGGGGATTGGCCTGAGCCTGGTTTTCTATGGTTTTGCGGGTGCAGTTCCCATGTGCCTTATATCTGTGGGATAATAAGCTCAAAGCAGCTTTGTTTGCAAAGCAGACAGATTCAAGTTGTCAGAATGCACTGAGAGGAGCTGGGAGAAGGGGGAGGTACCCAAGCCATGGTAGAGCTCTCAACCTGGAGCCCATGGCACAGGCAAATGAGGTGGCCTTACTCATCAGAAGAAGGCTCTGTGGGACAGGTTACTTCTCGTCCACTGCTGGCCAAGCAAAGCCACAGGCTGCTGCTCCTTCTCAACCAAGTGAGGCCAACTGGCAAAGTTGCAGTAACCTGATCTTGAATCTGAGCCCAAAGTCGACAGGGAATGAAGCCTGTTTCCCAGTTCCTCTGCACTGGCATTGTCGCTTTGGGCTTTGCACCTGAAGGTGCTGGAGTCTTCTTGTACTTGTGCATTCCTGCAGCCTCTCCAGGCTGGGGAGGGGGAGAGCTGGGGTGTATCCTGATGCACAGCAGGTCGGCTTCATCCCCAGATATATTGAAGGGGGGTCCCTTTAGGATGCATTCATGGCCAGTGCATGATGCAATGAGTATCTAAATTGTCTCATTTGCCAGGACTGCAGGTCTTTGTTGCCCAAAGAGGAACCTTTGTCCTCAAACTGAAGGAACCCCCAGCTCATGGAGCGGGAAGCAGGGATGGTGTTTCCCACCGCTGCCCGTGCCTGGCTGTCTCTTCCCAGCCCAGAGGCAGAGGATGCTGCGAGGGGCTTGAGGGTGGATGGTGCCCTGTTTTAATTAATCTGGCCTCTCTTCAGCAGAGCGGGCAGCGGGGCTCGGCTGCCTGGCACCCTGCCAGCTCTGTGCTGTCACTGTGACAGCAGCTATCAGCTCAAGCTGCTGCTTGTTTATGCCAGTCTGTTCCTTGGAGAAGCCTCTGAAATCGCCCTGGAGGAGTCAGGGATGTGAGTGCAGGGCGGTCCTGCACCCACACTCCGCAGATAACCCCCCCTGGCACCATCTGGGCTATGGGCTTGCTCCAGAGCTGAGCTTATAGATTCTGGTTGAGGTCAAACACCCCATCCCTGCCCAATGGTACCTTCTGCAAGTGATCCAGACACCTGAGAGAAAGCAGCTCTGCTTTGCTCACACGGACGTGTACATGTACAGCCCAGCCAGGGCTGCAGCAGCAGCGGGGCCTTGACTGTTCCATCTGTGTCAGTTGGGATCTGTAGGGGACTATTTTGCAACAGATTACATAGAAGTAGACTGGAAAAACCAGTTAGTGGGGGAAAACAATCCCACGTATTGACAATGAGTCTTGCTGAGTGCCAGCCTGGTGCTGGGAGTCCCAGCTCCAGAGACAGGGGCTGGCATTGGCATCTGGGCACAGCCTCTGCAAACCAGCAGTGAAGGTATTTGTCCTCACCCTTGTCCTGCTGGGAAGGGGGCTGAGTTGTGTGTCCGAAGCCAGGATCACACCGTTATTGTCTCTGTAGTGTCAGATCAGTCCCTTCCTCTCTGCCATCACCACTGGGAGGCTGCTCCCCAGCACAGCTCCTTCATTGTCCTATCTCAGCTTCTCCCTTCTCTCCCTCCAGGGAAAATGCTGAGACCGTGGTGACTGTAGAGGACAAGCAGGATCCTGTCGTGTCCAATGGCCACGAAGGGAGATACATATCAGCTGCAACCGACTTCAGGTGAAGGACTTTCTCAGACCTCCTCCCCATGGCTCCCAGCTCTGTTCTGTCCCCCTGGGGACAGCTCAGACGTGCAGAGCCACAGTCTCTCCCACTCAGGGCCTTACATGTCCCATGCACCTGGGTCTGGGGACTTTTATCATCCAGAGGTTAAGCAGAAGGCAGGGCAAGGGAGTATCCCAGTATCCCCTCCTCCCTCATCTCTCCCTGTCCCTGGAGTTCAGCCCCATGATCCATCCACCACCTTGCAACCTGCTACACCACATTTTTCTTATGCTACATCACACCTTTCCTACAGAGGAAGCCACCAAAAGTGGTCACAAGTCACCACGTTGATGTTGACTGTCAAAACAGACCTTGCCAAAAATTAGAGCGATTCCCACCCTGTCTTGATTTCATTCCTGGCAGGGTGACCCCTCCTGTCCTCTCCACCTCACCCCTCAGTCAACGCACAGCTGGCACCAGCGAGGTCAGGATTCCCAGTGGTGGCTTCAGAGAGGCAGGTCTTGCTGGGGGTGAGCTCAGCATTGTGCTTCTCCCTCCCTGTGCAGGTCCAAAGAGAACCACCACGCCTACGAGAACACGGTGGAGCCCGAGGAGAAGGTGATCACCACTGCCATGTAGCAGGCACCCAACCAGCCACCCTCCTTCCTCCTCTCAACTGGCTTCACACGATCGCGATGGGCGTTTTCACAGAGACCCTCTGCACTGGCAGCCCCTGTGTGTGATGGGTCCCTGACCTCCCCATGGCACCACCATCTCCTGATCTTTCCACACCTGTGGGACATGCCCTTCTGCCTCGGAGACTGGTGTCCATGCGGGCATCAGTCCCCAGGAGAGGTCTGGAGGTGCCACCTGTCCTGCCTGGTGGTCACCCCACCTGCTTGGCAAGGTTGATGTCCCAAGTCCCAGGAGGGTGTTGACCTGCTTATTACACAGAAGGGCTCCTGCTGGGTGTCTGGGACCTCCCTGCACCCCCAGCTGCCTTATGGGGAGTTGCTGATGGAAAACCTGCTCTTTTCTCCCCAGTTCACCCTCCTTTTTACAGCCTACACGAAACATTTTAATGTCAGAACAAACCTTCTCCCCTGTACATATCTCCCCTGTGAGAAATAAAGAGAATTGTTGCCCCTATGACAGCTGAGAGGGTCGTTTTGCTAATCAGCTAAAGGACTTTCTGGCATCTCACAGCTCTCCCAGCCTTCAGGCAGTTGGGAAAATGAAGGACATCAGGGAATGCTCAGCATTTGGACCACACCAAGGCTGCAAAGTGTGGCTGAGCATCATTCATCATTTGCTGGGTGGGGAAATTGAGGCACGGCACCAATCCAACACTTCCCAGTGTTGCTTAATGGGTGAAAGGCAGCACTCCCTGAATCCCACTGACCACAACATGCAGACCTACAGCCAGCTGGGGGCCATTCCCAGGGCTGGAGGTTGTGAATGGCAATCACTTATCCTTGCTGCCATGAAGTGGCTGGAGGCTGCTCCAGGCAGCGCTGGCTATCACAGGGCAACTGACCATAGTGCAACCTGCTCCTGCCAGGCTGTTCATTAACCAGGGTCCATCTTCTACTGTGGCGGGAGCAGTGCCAGGGACACCATGGGAGCAGCAAGTGCTTCTAAGCCGTGGCATTTGAAGCTTGAAAAGAGCTCTAATGCCTTGGCCATGCCTGGAACATGAGTTACTCAAGTGGCATTCAGAGTCCTCTTCTTGACAATTTATGAAAGGGTGAAGGGACTCTGAAATCAAGGGCAGCCCAACTGAAGCAGGACTGGGAGGGATGGGGTGGTAGGTTTATAAGAGGGGTGGTTTTGGCAGCCCCTGGTTTTGAGGGGAGCAGGGTGTTTTTAGGACCCTGCTGTGCACTTCCTGCAGGGGAAGCTGCCCATGTCCGAGCAGGTGGTGACACTAAAATTCAGGCAGGAGCCTTCAAGTAACAGACCCACCTTGAAAGGCCTTTCCCCTAGAGACTCAGGTAGGTGAGAGTTTCGAAAATGCCCTCAAAGACTCAGAGTTGAGAAATCACAGCTCCAGTTGAGAAATTGCATGAGAGTAGAAGAAAACAGGCAGAAGGGCTAGAGGGGTCAGGCCCTCAGATTTGGAGGCACGGTGGCTGCACCCCCAGCATCATGTCAGAACTGTTCTCTTCTACCACTTTCACTTGGACAGCTGGAGGCTGAGCCAGCCCCAGGCTGGGTCTTGCACCTCCCCACTCATGTCCCTGTGGATGCTGCTCCCCCAGCTTTTCTCTCGTAGGTGCCAAGTATCATGTGGTTTTGGAAAAAACAAACTTCCCAGAGTTCAGTGGTAGTGCTGTGCTCAGCAGGGTTTAAGGATTAGCCAGTACATGTTCCTGTGGCATCAGCACTTGGGCTGGGGGTGTGGTGAGAGGAGGGGAACCCATTAATTTTTTACCTCTCAGTTGCAAAAGGAGTTAGCAATGATATCCTTATAATGAGTAACAGCAGGAGTTTTTTCCATGCCCTGTGCACACCCTCAATATGTGATGGATGCTTGAGCTGCTCACCCTGCAGTGCCTGGATGTGGGTTTGGAGTGGAGGTGTGCTCAGGACTCAGTGGGTCTCAGTGTCCCTTTCCTCATGGATCTCTGCCATGGCTGTAGGTCCAAGCAAGGAGAAGGATGGGGCTTTACTGCTGGACGTTTTTGGATAATCCGGGAGCCTCAGTGCTTGGTCTTATCACAGCCAGTACCCATTCAGAGTTCACTTCCCAGGAGAAAACATCTCAAGCAAGAGCCAGGGATGCCTCCTCAGTGGTATACCTCACCTCTGTACTGTCCATGGTGCTGTTCTGCCTCAGTTTCCCTTGTCCATGAAGCACAAGCCGAGGCTGACTGAGTGAAGCTGCCTTCCCTTGAGCTGTGCAGCCGCCTCGCAGATGCTTCTTGGTGTGATCCTAAAAAGAACAAAAGGGAGAGAGCATAAATGAAATTTATTGTTGGAAAATCTTAATTAGATTTTAAGCCCCAAAGGGAGAAAAGTGAGGTATTATCTGACACAGCTAATGAGTGTTAAGGGTCCATTGTTATATTTCTTGTTTACCTTTCTGTACTGGCTGATACAGCCCGGATCCTCGCCTGTACTGCCGTAATTAGGATATCTCATCTCTTGCTGATAGGGTCGGGATGCTCTTTAAAGCACAATGCTGTCTCATCCCTCCCTGGAAGGATGAGCGTGATTGGGATGACAACTTCTGGCATACCAGTGCTCATGCTTTCCATGCCAACCCTGGGAGCTCGGGAATGTCCTCCATAGTTGGGGCTGTACCTGACAGTCCCCAGGTGATGGGCACCTCCCCCAGCCTCTGTGACCTCCCTGAAGGGGCCTGAGACAACTTGCCTGGGGCCAAATCCTCCCCAACACCTCTCTCCATGCAGCATGGGGGAGTGACCATGTCCTTCACAGTGAAGGGGAAGGACATCATGGGTGCTCCATCCTACCCCTCACTCCATAAGGCCATTATCTCTGAAGCTTGGGCTTCAGGAAAACATCCAGGTTTGGGTTCTGCTGCAGACAGGACCATCTCCTTTTGGGCAGAAGACATTCAGGGTGGGTTTTTTGAATTACCACCTTGTTGCAAGATGTATCACAGCTTTTCTTTGACACCTAGGAGGATGCAACTCATCTCTTGGACCTGCAGATAATGGGGCATCTTGTTGAAATCCACCTTTGCTCTGATGCTTTCCTAATCTCTCCTGAGGCCCTTTAGCTGTGAGGGTTTAAGATTCTGTAACCACAACCCCGGAGCAGTTTGGCCAGGTGGACAACTGCCGTGTAAATTATTGGAAGGTAGTTTAATTAAAGGCTTGCCATATTCAGATAAACTGGAAGAGCCACCAGCTCCTACCCTGGACCCAAACAGTGTAGCCTGGGGTTTATGTCCTGGCACTGGGCACCTTGGCACCCAAGAGATGTGATTTGGACCTTCAGAAACAAAAAGGGAGCCCGTCCCACCATCCCTGTCCTTCGGGTGGGGAAGAAGTTCAGCCACCCAGGTGGGAGCTGGGAGCACAGCACGGAGGGGTGGCTGTGTGTGGGCAAGGGGCCTGCAAAATTTTTGGTCTCGATTCAAGCCACTGAAAGCCAGAAGTAAAATACCATCCATTGTTGGTTTGTACACCCGTAGTAGCCAAACAAACATCCCCGGAGCCCGTCCTTATCACTTTATTACACCTGCTAGAGTGAATAGATTAAAGAGGATGGGGGAGGGGGGAGAAAGCTGAAGAATCCAGCAGAAAAACTGGGTTTTGGGATTGTTAATTATTCTCTGGGGTCTCTAATCTTTAACTGGCAAACAGCATCACTAACTGTCTTAAAGCCCCTCCTGGAACATCGTGATAATAAGCCATCTGCATGAAGGCACCCCGTTATCTGCCCTCCTCCAGCCGCCTGTGACATGGCTGGAGTGGGAGATAATGAATGTGTGGTGTGTAATAATGACACGTCATTCATGATTATCGGCCTGATACCCAACCTTTTAGCTCCATTGTTTGTGTTTCAAAAAAAAAAAAAAAAAGAAGGAAAAAAAAAAGAGAAAATAAAAAGGAGAAAGGAAATAAGAAAAGGGGGAAATTTTGGTGCTATGGGCTATCCCGGGGTCCCCAAAGTGTCTCCCTGCCAAAGGGGCTGGCTCTCGTAGCATCTCCCAGAGGGTTTGTTGGTACCCTGGAAGGACTCGCCCGTGGATTGGCGGCTGCTGTAGCCATGGTGACGGAGGAGAGAGCTGAGACAGCGCAGAAATGTCACTGCCTGGCAGGGAGACATTTGGGGCAAATGTGCAGGCGATTACATCTGTGTCAGTGGCTGCTGCCCGGCTCCTTGCACAACTCCTTTGCTGCTCTCAAAACAGTTTGGTGGTGGCTTGGCAGAGGAGGTTATCTTGTACACGCTGCTGTCCAGAAGCTGCCAGCATTCTGAAGGTGGGGGGATGTTTGTGTTGCTCAGTTTGACCCAAACAAGTTGAAAAGTGAAAGAATTTTCTCCTGGTTGCTCCTGTGTTAGGGCTCCTTGATGCATCAGTGCTGTGAGACCTTCCCCCAAAAGCTTTGGTTCTTCAAACTGAAAACCTGGGTTAAGCACAGTTCTTAGTGGTAAGGGATTTTAAAGTGTTTGGCTCAGGTTACCTCAATTATTGTCATAACTGCCTGGAACAACAATCCATTATTTGCATCAAAAATGTTGGCAGTTTCTCCTCTCTTTCCCAAGCAGATTTGCAAGAGCAGTTTCCCTCGAGAAGGTCTCCACTTGCAGTGGTTGTAGTTTGGTCATTTATAACAATCAGGAGGACTATTGGAAATCAAATGAGCAGCCTTGGTCAAGGTTGGTCACAGGGCGATGGCCTCAAAACACAGGCTCCGTGTACAGATCCAGGGGTGGGCAGCAGCTGAGAGTCCTCTTCAGACCTAATTTGCCCTGCTCTGGCCTTATCCCCCCACATCCAAACCAGAAGATGCTGTAGTGACATCTTCATGTGCCACCCAGTTTCCTTTGCAAATCACCACCAAAGAGACTGGGATGGGTCTTTGTGGCCAAGTGCTCCCGAAGCTCATTTCTTGGCCCACCTGATGGAGAGTAGATGAGCAGAGCTATGAGGTGGCTTGGCTGTTCCCAGGTGAGTGGCTGAAATGTCTGACAAACAGCACTTTTCAGTAATGAAAAGGTGTATCAAAATGCTGCCCTCCAAAGGCCTTGCTGTGCTGGAGCAGGAGAGGAAGACATCTGGAGTCTGACCTGTTAGACCAGCCTGAGTCCACCAGAGGTGTAAGTGTGGCGGCACCAGCACCTACACAACCTGCATCCAGTCTCTTCCTGGGAGTAAGAAGGGGTGGGCTAGGAGAAGAGGAACTTGGTCTCCAGATGCCTTCCAAAATAAATGCAAGCTGCACCTTGCTGGTTAATCCCAGCATCCCTGTCCCAGACAGCCAATACAAAGATCTGAGGAGAGTTTTGTTTCCCAGACTGAGGATTGAGCAGGCAGCAGAGATGGGGAGCAGAGATGCTGCAGGAGTTTAGTCAGATGGGCAGATGCTCAGATTTGGCTGTCCTGAGCTGCTCAGAGAGACAGAGAGATGGACAGACGGACAGACATGCTTTGGATACGTTAGTGCCTG